ATAAATTAAAAAGGTCACCATTCAACTCTATCGTCTGAGAAATCAAAAATTGATGTGAGAAGAAATGAAAATGATGTAAAAATTCTCATAAAAGGGCAATGTTCAGAACTGAAGAAACACTTACCGACTCTAGTTTCTCATAAATTTCTGCAAAAAACAGCAAAAGATTCTTTCGTTGTTGATCACTCAGATTGGATCTTTGCTGTTCATGAAAGCTTAATAAGCTAGCAATCATATCATCTTGGAAAGTTTGCAGATCACGACACAAAAATGAACATAATTTTGCCAAATTATATTGTACTGTCTGTGATGATGATGTAAAAGCTGCCTGAAAATTATAAAATTAAACTTCATCGTTGGTTCATGAACACTGTACTGAATGCTAAGATCTTTCTTGCTTAACAATTTTTGAGTGGGGTATCGTTAATCTCGATGAATTCTAATGTACTATACATCGAAAAACAGTCACTTCTCAATTCTGCGTAATGCTCTTCCCGTATTTTCCCTTTCATCTACTTATCTTCAAGTCGAAATTCTAGTCTCCAAAATCAGTTTTATTCGTAATAAATATATCATTGTGTGTCATTTCCTTAAAAAATTATCATCTTAAACCGTTTCAAAATATATGTACCAAACATGGACAGAAAAGTAGTTCCCATGTATAACTGACTTGTAATAAATCAATTAGCTTTATCCTCAAAGAAAAGAAAAAACTTCAGACATGATGAAGAATTTTTACCAACTGAATAATCATTTCAACCGCTATTTTCAACGCATCAATTTTGAACGACGGATTCGTAGTACGTTCCCTGATGGCATTCGACCAGGTTTCAAATTCACCTGGCTCCAATATTAACTGCTCCAAACCAACTTGTATCTAAATTGAAAGTAAAGCTCTAAATATCCTGAAAATTTTTAAGTTATATCCAAAAATACCATTGCTAAGCTTATGAGACTTATACTGTTCATATTCTTGGGATTATTTAAAATGGTTTAAAAGCACATGTCAACTAG